AATCCCCAAGGTACGAGATAGTTCTAGAAACGTGGCGTCACACTAGACATGTGACACGCTGACGCAACAATTCTTTAGTCTTAGCATCCGAATTACGAGACCAGAGCCAAGACTGATTTTAGGATGAGAGATGATTTGTACAAGTTTAAAATCATGCAGTTTGGCAGCTGTCACTTGCTGACCACATTTTAGGGGCTGATGAAGCTTACCTGAAAGAATGGCAGTGGCAGAAGTGCCTGGTCTACATTGATTTTGATAAAAGAGTTAGCACAAAGGATCACATATAAAGGATAATAGACTTAAAATAAGACCCATAACTCGAGCGTTTTCGAATAATGGACTATTCTTTTCCTGAAGAAGAATAGTCAACTATTCGAAAGCGCTCGAGTTTTGGGTCTTATTTTAAGTCTGATCTACATTGATGATGTTTTGATGTTTGGTCAGACATTTGTGTTTGTAGCTGAGTAAGTGAAATTATCAGTTGTGTGTGAAATTCAAGAATAGTAATGTTGATATCAAAACAAATATAAACTTGGTCAATTCAATTTATTTATATATGTATAGTGTGAAGCATGCAGTATAAGATACATAATGTAAGTGTACTAGGGAGAGGCATAAAGAAAGGTAAACTTTATTATTACTTTTATTAACATTTTAATTCATTTTTATTAGTATGCTTTTATTACAAAGGTTGTTTTGCGATGTTAGCTTAATATATTGTTACGTCTCCGTTTGTTAATTGATTTCCCGTAAATTCGTTCCGACGAAGCTTTAGCGACACAAGTCCTTACTTAATAAAACTGGTTTATTCTTTCCGAATATAACTTTACCGATACACTTATTTTCAACAATCGCGCTAAAACAAACGCTATGTTACGTCTCCGTTTGTTAATTAACTTTCCGTAACTTTGTTCCAACGAAACTTTAACGACACAAGTCTTTACTTAATAAAACTGGTTTATTCTTTCCGAATATAACTTTACCGATACACTGAATCTCAATACTCGCGCTAAAACAACACTTGTAACAACGAACGTCAATAATACTTCCGACTGCAGTTCAATTACTCACTATCTCCACACACATTACCTTTCATACCGCGTCACGTTTTCCCCTCTTATATATATACCAGCCTACCCTACTAGTAAATACTAGACCATTCGCCAAGATACGGGATAGTTCTAGAAACAAGAGAGCGTGAGAATTGTCACGTGATCTCGATGACGCAACAGCTATAACAACGAACGTGCTCAATAATACCCTCTGACTGCAGATCAGTTACTCGCTGTCTACACACACATTAATGCCACGTCACCCTCTTATATATATACCAGACTACCCTATCTCTAGTAAATGCTAGGGCATTCACCAAGGTACAGGATAGTTCTAGAAACGTGGCGTGACACTAGTCATGTGACCTCGCTGACGCAACAATATGTAATTAGGGCAAACTTAAATATCCCACAGGCTACAGGCTGAACCTTGCGAAATATCATTGAGGTT